GAACCCCCTTTTTGAAGGATGGTTTCCATTTTGGATCTGCTGGCATGGTGAATGCCTTCTTGCCTGTCTTTTGGGGTATCGGGGAGAGCCCCCTTTTCAGTTGGAGAATGAGGCTGTGTACTTTCAACTCCTGTAAACTCACTCTGACTCATATCTACTTCCCCTCATTCCAGCATGTGTGTGGGGGGAGGGGGAGGCTCCCCAGACCCCCCTGTAACAAAAGAATGGGCCTTGGGCTGGAGTATTGGCTCCATACAGGGCAGACCAAGAGAGGGGTGTGAGGTGGGGGTGGTATGTGGGGAGAAAAGGAGTTCAGCTCAGTTTGACAGGATGTGGGTCGGAGAGAAAAAGCTAGGTTTGGGCAGAGATCAGATTACCTTCCCCTTCTTTCTATACTACTCCCTGCCTGTTCGGTCCTGGGGCTGGCTCTCATTTGTCTCCTTTTGGGGGGCTCCTCCCAGCAGCCTTTCGAACAGTCTCAACTTCATCTGGACCCTCCTCCCCTCTCTCTTCCTCCAGGCCTAGCGCCTGGGAACTCCAGCCGGCTGGAGGTCAGCTCCTTTCCCCTGGGACGGAGGAAGTGAGGCTCAGCTCAGGGGCAAGGGAGCTAGGAAGGTGTGATGAGCTGTGCAGACTCACGCTGGTTGTGTTGGGGGTGGGGGACACAGAAACCCTGGGAAGCTGACTCCTTGCCCTGAGTCACAGGGAGGGGTGCGCAGGGCCTTGGGTGAGGGAGCTGGACAGAGGGGAGGAAGGGGCTGTTCCTCGGAGTGGGTGGAGGTGACTCCCTAGTGGGTTATTCTGTCGCTCTGCTTGGATGTGTGGCTCCCTACAGTGTGGTCATTGTCCCCTGCCTGAGGCTGAGTGACCCAGTGTTGCTGCCAGGCCCAGGAGGAGGGGGGGAGGAAGGCAGGCTGCCCGAACGTGGGCTGTGGGCAGTGCGGGGACTGAGCCTTCTTTGTGTGACTCGGGGCTTTGGGAACGGGGATGGGGTGGGCCAGGGAAGCCTGCCGGCCGCTGCCGCTGCCACTGCCCTCTGTCTGGGTTGCCCTCCCTCTGCTCTTTCCCACCTCTGGGATGAGTCGTAGGAAAGGCAACAGACTCCAGTCACATAGCCCAGCTTTGAATGCAGTGCCTGCATGACTCTGCTGAATACGTGTGTGAGCCCCGCTTTCCTAATTTGTGCAAATAGGAAGCTCTCCGTTTCCTTTCTAGGCTCCTGGGACTGAGGGAGATGATTTTTGTCAAAATGCCCCAAAGTATCTCTTATGCACCTACCCCGTGGTAGCCCTTTCTTCTGGCCTGTGGCCTTGGAGAGAGACTTTGCATTTGTGACAGGGCAGAGCATGACTTGTGCTGGGTGAGGGACAGGACAGTGTGTTCTAGATTGGACCTTAGTGATTATTAAATTTTAAAAGTATCAAAATCCTGGTGACGAATGAGGTCTGGCCCGAACCCCGATATGTAGAGCAAGTGAAGGCTGGCTCTTCTGGACATGTCCCTGAACAGCCCACTCGGTGTCCGGGGTTCCACAGTTGATGAGCAGACTAGGTCAGATCTCCTGTTGTCTGGCTCCCAAGTGGCTGGCTGTTCTACCTCCCACCTCAGTGTTCCAACCCACTGGGGAAGACCTGACCCAGAGATTAGGAATTTCAGGCTCAGTTGCCTGAACAATTGGTTCTTGGCAAAAACATGTCCGAGCAAGCCCCTATCTGTCCCTGTGCTAGGTGCCTCGGTTTCCCCGGAGGTCTCGGGGGGCCCAGAGGAGTGCTTTTTGGACTTACTAGGCTTCTCCCCAAATCTCCACCGCCTTTTCCCTGCCAGCCCCAGCCATGGCTGCCATCCGAAAGAAGCTGGTGATCGTGGGGGATGGGGCCTGCGGGAAGACCTGCCTCCTCATCGTCTTCAGCAAGGACCAGTTCCCAGAGGTCTACGTCCCGACAGTCTTCGAGAACTACATCGCAGACATAGAGGTGGACGGCAAGCAGGTGAAGGCACAGCCCCTTCCCATGCCGCCTGGAACCCCGCCCGACACTGCGGACGCAGGACGTCCTCCCTCACCACCCACGCCCTTGCTCCGCTCTCCCTGTTGTTGCCAAGGAGTCAGGAAGTAAAGCCACAGTCAGGAAGTCTAAACACACCTAGGTCTCTACCCGGCCGCCCTTTGCCTCGGAGCCAAAGCGCCCCCAACTGCAAAATGGGGGTAATGACAAGGCCTCCTTCAACAGGTTTCTGTGAGGATTAAATAGTGGTGCTCACAATGGCAGTTCAGAAACTTCCCAAAGATCAAGCGCTGATGTCTCAGGATTTACCCGCCTCCCCCCCCCCCCCCAATTTGTGTTGGGCAGCAGTGATTCGAACTTCTGGCACGCAGCAGGCGCTCAGCAGCTGTCAGTGAGCCCCGAGGACCAGTGGCCTCACTGAGAACCTCTCTCTAGGTGGCGGGGTGGGGATTCGGGAGTGACTGGGCCCTCGGGCTCGCCACTCACAGGCCCTGTACATCAGGTGGAGCTGGCCCTGTGGGACACGGCAGGGCAGGAAGACTATGATCGCCTCCGGCCTCTCTCCTACCCGGACACTGACGTCATCCTCATGTGCTTCTCCATCGACAGCCCGGACAGCCTGGGTGAGGGCACTGGAGGGAGGGGACCAGAGCCCTTTGGAATCAGCCAACCCGCCTTGGTTCATCTTGGCCTTCCTCAGAGGTCCACTGAGGAAGGCTGGGGCTGTGGGGAGGGGTGCTGGAGGCCGCTATCTGCCCTCACTGTGGGAACCCTGGCCCCTGGGAGGGCTAGGGAAGGGCTTTGGGCTGTGAAAGGGACTGTCAGGCTGAATACCCTCCAAGCCTCTGCAGTGGGGTGTCCAGGGGCTTGGTGGGGGTTGCTCTCTAGCCAGAGGGGAGGGGAGGGGAGGGGTGGGGGGTGGTGCACCAACACCTGTTGGGACTTGTCTGTGCAGAAAACATTCCTGAGAAGTGGACTCCGGAGGTGAAGCACTTCTGCCCCAATGTACCCATCATCCTGGTGGGCAACAAGAAAGACCTGAGGCAAGACGAGCATACCCGGAGGGAGCTGGCCAAGATGAAGCAGGTGGGCAAGGCTGCCAGGCTGCGGCGGGAAAGGGGGCCTTCTCTCCAGAGCTTGCTGGAGGGGACACTGGCGCCCACTGCCCACCCCAGTGAGGGGGACCAGGAAGGCCCTTAAGTGTCTGATCCAGGATTTGATGTGGCCATCAGAATGCAGTGACTTGTCCAAAGTCACTCGGCATTTTATTTGTGTTTGGGGTTGGAGCTATTAAGATGAAGTCCCTAAGTGTCCAGAAGAAAGGCCTGGAGTGAGGGAGCTGGCTTAGCAGGGGATTTGGTAATTGGTTCTCTAGTCAGAGGATGACTTTTTTAGAGAAAGCTGCCAAAATACGGAGTATGGGCTCTGCTGAGGATAGCTGAGCCAGGGCTTTAAACTGGGGGCAGCCGTGGTCAGGTTCATGTGTCAGAAGTATTACTCTGGCAGCCATTTGAAGTGGCTGTGAGGCAGTGATAGGGGCCCCTGGCTGAGTGGCTCAGTTGGTCCCAGCTTTGTCCCGTACACCAGATGACAGGTTCAACCCCTGGTCAGGATGCAGATGGGAGGCAACTGATTGATGTCCGCCCCCCCCCCCCAAATCCATAAACATTTCCTTGGGTGAGGATACAACAGAATGGAGGCAGGGAGGTCAGTTAGGAGGTTCTAGGCACCTGTTCAGGTGAGAGAAGGGTTTACCATGGGTGTGGGGCTGAAGGAGAGAATTTTAACGTCAACGAGCCCTGCAGCTGCCTGGGGGCTGGGCCTTGGAGAGGTTTCTCCTGGTCACGGCACTTCTGGGGGTGGCAGTGAGATGCACCACCCCGACAGCTTCCTTTGCCTTCTCCCCCCCCCCCCCGCCCCCTCCCCCAGGAGCCCGTTCGGTCGGAGGAAGGCCGGGACATGGCCAACAGGATCAGTGCCTTTGGCTACCTTGAGTGCTCTGCCAAGACCAAGGAGGGGGTGCGGGAGGTCTTTGAGATGGCCACTCGGGCTGGCCTCCAGGTCCGTAAGAATAAACGCCGGAGGGGCTGCCCCATACTCTGAGACCTCCAAACCCTCTCCTCCTCCCACACCTTGAGTCCCTCCACAGGGGTGCCGAAACACCCCCAGGTCCCACCCTCTTAGGGCTTCATGCTGAAGGCCCTCTGTTCCAGTTCCCCCTAGCCCAGGACTGCATCAGTGTCCCACGGCCCCAGCCCTGATGGTGGCAGGCCTTCCTCCCGCCCCTCCCAGCACTCTGGGCGCCTAGGGCCATGTCCGGCCCTGCTGGAGCAGAGTTCTACTGCTGCCTGGGTCCAGGGGTGGGGATCGGGGTGGGGCTCTCCATCCCTTTGGCCTTTCCCAGAGGATCAAAACACACCAGCACTTTATGCGCTTCTGCACACAGAAGCAGAAGCCAGTCTGGGGTAAGGGACTTGGGTGAAGCCCAGCGCCCTGGGCCCCTGCTATCTCTGCTTTTGGGCAGGGGCCTGGTCTCTGGCTGTACCTGGTGGGGGGCACGAATAAAAAGGCCACAGGCTTCAACGTATGTATGGCAGCTTCCTGTCTTTCTCTCCTGGTTCCTGTCACAGCCTCTAGCCTATAGTCCCATCTTTCCTCTTTTCCAAATCACTCACTAGGCCGCCCCTCCCAACCCCCCCCCCCCCATTTGCAAAGGCAGGACTCTGGGCAGGCAGGGTGGAGTCTAGCAGCAGGGGATGAGGTCATACCTGGCTCCAGGCCTTGGAGGCGGGTGAGGGGAGTGGTCTGGAGCAGGGGCTAAACTTAGAAGCCTGTGGGTGGCTTCCCTGCCCCCTCCCACTGGGTTTCCTTCTCTGGTGTGGGGGCTGGGCTCCTCTCCAGGGGAAAGGGTATGGCCTTGGGTAGTGTCCCATCTTCCCCTGTGGGGTCAGCTTGGGGGCTCCGGAAGCAGGGGCCAGGCCAAGAAGACATGGACACTTTTGCATAGAACAAGGTTGTTTTTCAGAATTTTTCTGCCTCCCCTGCCTGTCTCAGTAGCACTGGGTCTGTCCTCTCTTGCAGGGGAAGGGGTGGAATGTTTTGGATTGTAAACTCCCTCCCCCAGCTTTCCTGCCCCTTAGAGGGGCAGCTAGGCTGGGTTCAGGTTGGGGGTGGGGGGCAGGTAAGGCTTGGCTGGTGTGCGAAGGCTGGAACCCGGCTGTGTCTCTTCAGAGCTCGTTTCTCCACTCTGGCTCCACCTGCAGGGGCAGGTCGCCTTCACCCTCCAGGTCCTGGGAGAGGTAGTTGTGACTCTGGGGCCCTACAAGTGAGAGGAAGGGAGCTAGCTGTCTTCCTTACCTGCGCCCCAGTGCTGGCCCGGACCTGGCCTGCCTGGGGCCCAGCCATACCTGAGGTAGAGGAGCCGAGCTTGCTCAGATCTTTGAGTAAGTTCTGTCCTTGCTCCACTTCCAATGTGGCAGGAAAGGGGCACCCGGTATAGCCCCCCTTTTCTTTACAGAAGTCCAGGAACCTGTGGGAGGCAGGGACACTCACAGTGCGCCTGGCAGAGGCTGGGGGCTAAGTCGTGGTCCCGCCCCATCGGCCAGTGCCTTTGCACAAGCTGCTAAGCCTCTGAGTGCCAGGTGACTTAAATGGGGGTGCAGTGAAAATGGGCAGGTCTGACGATGGACTGAACCGGGGGGAGGTGCCTACAAAGACACAGCTGCCCTAAGCTGGGGGCTGTGGCCACCAAGAGGGATGATGGGGTGGGAATGCTCACGCCTTCCAGTCGGGATCATGGCCCAGGAGGAGCGGGTTGCCCACCACGATGAGCAAAGCCTTGGCCCGGGTCACAGCCACGTTGAACCTCTGGAAGGAGGAATTGGTGCCGTCACAGGAGAGAAGAGCCCCAAGGAAGGGGGAGTCCTGCCCCCCCCCCCCCCCGCCAGCCCACACACCTTGGGGTTCTTGAGGAAACCGAGGCTGAAGTCCAGGTCCAACTGCACGAAGCTCTGGCTGCTCCGCACGGTGGAGATGATGATGACGTTGCGCTCTTGGCCTTGGAATTCTTCCACAGAGCCCACCTGGAGGAGGGAGGGCAGTGCCTGAGCCTGGGGGTGGGGGAGCCCGGAGGAAGAAGCCCTGCCTCAGGGAGCTCCGGCTCCAAGGTGGGAGTGGAGCCGTCACCAGGAGGCGAGTGAGCCAGGGTCCCGAGGGCAGAAGGGACAGGCGGAAGGCCTGGAACCTGCTCCAGTTAAAGGGATGGAGGCCGGAGTGTTCTGTGGAAAAAACACTCAGCAGTGTTTTTCAAACTCCTGAAGATATCCATTAAGTACTTGTTAAAAATACATTGTACAACCCAGACCTCCTGAATCAGAATTTCCAGGGGAGGGGCCCCTAAGTCTTAGAGCACTGGTTTCCAACTCCACTGCACACGAGGTCACCTGAGGAGCAGGGAGCAATCTGGATGCCCTGGCTCTGCCCCCAGATGGCTGTGTCAATGGGCTGGGCGGGGCCCTGGCACAAGCAGTACCAGACGCTGTCCAGGCGATTGTTATCTGCAGCCAATGCTGAGAAACACCACCGAGAGTGAAGCTCCTGTCCCACAGGGCAGGAGAGGGCAGCAGGACACTCTCATGTGACGTGCCAGCCAGGAGTTTGCACTTTACCCTCAGGGCTGAGGCGTCCAACCAGCCTGACCATGAGAAGGGTGTGGGGCTGCTTGCTCAACACACAGGCATGATGGTCCCATCCCAAACCACAGGTCGGGATCTTCAGAATGAGAGGCTGGGGAAGGATCCCAGCCGGGGGGGAGATAGGGGGTCGTGGCTGGTCTGGAGCATCAGGACAGGAGCCCGAGGAGGTCCCTGGACTGGACATGGGGAAGTGCGGGGCACAGCAGGCAGAGTGAATGTCAAACAGTGGTCGGTGTCACCTTCAAGTCCTTGATGTCATCCAGTCCCCGAAGCTTCTTGTCAAGTTTGGTGATGCATTCTCGGATTTTCTCCACCTGGAAGAGGGGGACAGGTACCCTTCTCTCATCCCATTTCCCCTGTGCAAGAGGGAGTCAGGAGGGCAGGAGGCCAGGGAGCTGGGAGGCGAGAAGGGAGGGCAGTGGACCTCGGAGCTTCCCAGCCAGATACGGGGCCAGCAGGCCTGAGCTCCTGCAGCCTGTACCTGGTGCTCTGGCTATGAATGAGGCGCCATCTGGGGGTGGGGATGGGGAAGGATGCCAGCTGAGGGCCTAACCTGCTTCCGGTATGGGGAGATGACACCCACGTGCCGGGGGCTCAGGTGGCCTTTGCCTTTCTTAGATGAGGTCAGGAGTTGTTTCAGGTAGTCCGTCACTTTGGCAGCCTCTTCGGGGTTGAAGAAGGATGGGCTGTTGCCCTCACGCTCATCCTTGCCCATTACGCCATGAAAGATGATGGGAAAGCCCTGGACACAGTCAGGGGAAACCCTCAGCCACACACTCCCGCCCCCTTCCCCTCACCCTCCAACTCTTCCAGGCAATGTGGGTTCCCAGGCCAAGGTGATGAAGAGACAGGCTGTGGCTTCCACCCAGACCCGCCTCCTTCCTTGCACCTTCAACAGGAGGGAAGGAGGGGTGCACAGGTGGGAGCCCCTCACCGGCTGAGGCAGACCCTCCCAGTGGCAGAAGCGTTCCCGGTCCATAATGTTGGCACGGGCCAGCAGCTCCCCCTCGTAGTAGAGCCGGTTAGGAATGTCCAGGATGGTGGGGTGAGACCTGGGAGGCAGGAGGAGGAAGGGAGAGCAAGACCCGGGGCTGTACTGCTCCTGCCTCGCCCTCAGCCACCCTGCCCCACGTGCGCTGGGCCCACACACGCATCCCCCTGCCCTCTGCCCTCGCACAGGAGGCTCGCTCATCTACAATGTCTGCTGCTAGGACTGGGAGCCACGGAAAACAGCCACATGTGCTTTCGGAGAGGACCTGGTCCATGGATTTCACAGCAGCCAAATTTAAAAGAAGAAAACAAGAAGTCAGAAACCCATTCTCAGGTTTCAATTTTGAGAAAAGAACAGTATGCACACAAAGATCTTGTACTATCTATCGCCAGTACTTGAGCTAATGTGTGAAGTCACAAACTTAAGCAGTACCAGTACAACAGCTAGCGCTGACTGAACGCTTCATGGTCCCTCCAGGCAGCCAGGGACTTGGGGTTCATCTGAGCATTTCAGATGCATGAACTTGCTGAAAGGAAGGCCAGGTCTATAAATAACAATGAGGTTAATGGAAAACCACATTGTCCCTATTTTTCTCGCTTCTCCTTGGATTGCCCCCAAACTTCACCTGGGACCCGCCCCAGACATGTCCCCATGTCTGGGAACCAGTGGCCCCGCCTTCACACACAAGGTAAGCACGAGGGGGAGAGCCACCTGCTAAGTCACACAGCCAAGGAGTAGCAGCGATGGGGCTGGGGAGGAGACCCCCGGCCTGGCTTCCAGCCAGCCCTTCTGCAGTGCACAGCCTCCGAGCAGCAGGAGCGCAGGAGGGAGCCCCCAGGGGGCCTGCACAGGCTGTGGAGGCAGGAGGTCGAGGGAGGGGCCGGGATACCTGTAGTTGCACAGCAGCTTGGTTATGAACTGGGGGTTATAGCCACTGGCGCCCTTCTTATACAGGGAGTTGTGGGTGAGCAGCCGCTCCAGCAGGGAGTGCCGCAGCCCGTGCCTCTGGGCCAGAGGGGAACGCAGCACGGGCCCCAGCTGCCGAGGGTCTCCTGCCAGCACCAGCTGTCCTCCTGGGTCATTGGGTGATTCTTTGACTTCCATCAGCCCTGGGAAGCAAGGTGGTGTGGGGAGAGCAGTGAGTGGCGGGGCCTCCCCAACCCCACGTGGGGCGGCACCTGCGCAGCCCACCCCGGGTCCCTCACCTGCCATGGCCACCAGGCTCTCGGGCTCCATGCACTGGCCAGCCTCATCGATGAAGACGTGTGTGAAGTGGCTGATGGGGAACTGGGCGGAGACCAATCTGGGAGGTGCCAGGCCCGGCCGAGGTCAGCCCCGGGCGCGGTCAGCCCCGGGCGCTGGACCACCAAGCCTGAATGCTCACCCCAACTGGCCCCGCACCCCACTGCCCAGCCTGCGACCTCTTTACTTCTATGCACACACATGTGTGCGCACACTCGCACTACCTGCTGGCAGTGATGAGGGTGGTGATTATGACCCGATACTCCTGCAGCTTCTTCTTAGAGGGAAACACGTACTCCCCCTTATTCTCGTCCCAGTTGCAGCAGGGCTGTGGGCGTGAAGGAAAAGGGGAGTCAGCTTGGCGTCCCCACTCCCACCCGTACTCTGGCTCTGGGTCCCCAGGCAGTTTTATTCACTTCTCACGTCACACCCAGGGGAATCAAAGGCCAGAGAGGCGGCCTGACCCAGGTGAGGTCACACAGCGGTCCGGGGAATCCAGGTCTGCCAGGGGTCCCTGCCTCCGCGTCTACCCTGAGGCCTCCCAGCACCTCTGCTCCTTGGCCGCCTGCGCTTCCCCAGGTACCTTGATGTCTTCGGGCACCATGCGGATGTCCCTGCTCGGGGCCAGGAGGCGGTAGATGGAGCTGGACAGGTGTGGCCGGAGTCGCTGACAGAGCAGGTCAGCCCCTGAGTTGGATGGAGCGCAGGCCAGGATGTGGGCCTTGGGCAAATGCTTCACCACCTGAGGGGGAAAGGGATAAGCAGCGTGGGAGGCGGCTTCCAGGTGCAGGGGAGACTCAGGCCTGTGGTGCAGTGTGACGTTTGCCTCCCAAAGCCGAGGGAGGTAGTGACACAAAAGATGAGTTCTGCCCCCCAGGACCCCTGCAGTCCAAACAGGACTGAAACGTGAACGGTGACTCTGAGAGCTGTGCAGCCTGCCACCTCCGCAACAATGCTCAGCTGCCACAGCGACCCGTGATGCCAACTCAAAGGCATTCGGGAAGCTGGAAGGAACCAGAACCTGGGGACCACTGCTCGGTCCTGGGGAGCCCGAGTGGGGGCCCCCGGGCTTTACTCGGGCCCCACCTGCTTGATGGCCTCCACCACGGTGACTGTCTTGCCAGTGCCCGGAGGCCCAAAGATGATGTAGGGGGCTGGGCGGCTGGTGCCTGTGACAATGGATTTCACGGCCTGGAGCTGCTCTGGGTTCGACTCCAGGTTGCGATCGTACAGCCTGCAGGAGGGCCAAGAACGCGAAGTCGTCCAGTGTTCCAGAGGCTTCCCTGGCTCCGGGCTCTAGGCCCACACTCCAAGTAGCCCAGAGCCCCCGCCCACGGTCTCACTTGAGCTTCACTTCTGAGGACAGCAGTGGGACCCCATGGGAGGCCTTAGGAAAGAGCGTGGGCCACAGTGGGTGGCGTCTCGTCAGCTCCAAGGCACGATGCTGTGCCTGCAGGGGCTGGCGGTTGAAGGTGAACTTCACCTTGAAGGTCAGCCCATCCACAAAGCGGTTCAGGAGGCTTTGGGAAGGGGGAGAGACAGAGAAGAGTTCTACTTAGGAGAGTAGGGAATAAAAGGCCAGGACTCTCACCTCGACTCCACTCCCACTGTCCAAGACCTTGATACAATCCCTCGAGGAGAGGAAGTTGCTGAGGCATCTCAGGGAGAAGCACCCCTTCTCCCCTGGCCTGAGAGAGATGTCTGTAGACCCTTCCGGCAGCTCAGGGTTTCCCCAAACCCACCTCGTGGAAAAGCTCAGCTTGACACGGTCCAACTCCACCCTGTGCACAAAGCCCTTGTAGGTGACAGAGTTATTCTGGTGAGCCTCGGAGGACAAAAGGGCAAACAGGTGGTCTCCCCGGAGCACTGAGGGGCGGCTCTCAGCTACCCCAGGAACCTATGGGGTTTGAACACAAGCAAGATTCTATCTCAGGGGGCCCACCAGAGGGCCCCCTTCCATCCAAGACTCAGGGATCTTTGCCTCCTTCCTCTCCAACCAAAAAGCAGAAGAGTCAGGAGACAAGGGAACAAACAAGTCTGTCCGAGCTGCCCAGAGATGCTAACTAAGCACAGGAATCCGGGACACCCTCCAGCACGTGACCCCAGGACTTGGGGGCAGCCGTCCATGCCTGTCCAGTTGCCCTCTTGGCCATCTCAGTTCCTATTGTGCCTTTAAAATCTTGTTTAAAACTCAGTTCCTGCTTCTCCCTAGGTCCCTTGCTCAGTACTTGGGTGTGGGAATCCATTCTCACCTAATTCTGGGCTTCTGTACGCACATTCAACATTTGAGAGTTGGAATGGGCTCCGAGCTCTAGGCCAGCTCTGTGCTTTTCCGATGAGGGAATGGAGGCAAGGGACTTGCCCACGGCCACACGGCTGGTGGCAGCGAAGTCTGGACTGCAACCCAGGCCCTCCCACCACCCTGTCCTGACACTCTTTTTGGACACAGGGCACCCAATCTGCCCCTTGCTGAGCCCTCTGGGGCACAAACAACTTCACCCTTCCTCCTGTCTCACCCTGCCGGCAGGAGCCGTGTTCTGCCCACAGCCTGTGGGTGGAGCCCACATCCCAGCCCCCCGATTCCAGTCCTGACCTCCAGCGTGAGCAGCCTGGGGCTCTGGTTGATGAGGTCCAAAGTCATGGGCACCGACTCCAGGTCGTAGTGCCGGATGTCATACTCCATCTGCAGCTCTTCCAGGTGCAGCAGCAGTCGGAATTTCGTCTCGTAGTTCGTGTACTTCAGGGCGGTCTCGAGCTGGGCCCTGGCAGGGACGGTGTGGGTGGGGGGTAGGGGTGGGACAGGAGGAGGACGGGTTAGGCAACCCTCATGCCTAAGAGCATCCACCCTCTCCCGACGGCAGCTTTGGGATTCCAAAAGCACCCGGAATCAGAAAAGACTAGAGGGGCCTCAAAGAAGGGAACCCTGGCTCTCTCACTCCCTGCAGTGGGCATGGGATCCTAGCGCCCGAGATCCTCCTGTGACCCCCGTTCTCACCTCATTCACATGCCACTCCCTGGTCAAATGTCACCCTGCAGAGGCTGGGACTGACCGACACCCTCTTCGAAATAGGGCAGCCCACCCCGACCCAGCCTTAGTCTCCACCGGGCTTCAGTTCAGCTCTTCACAGCCCTCATGGCTCTATTAAAGATACAGTAAGTGTTCTTTATAGGAAATTCTAAGATAAACATTCCTTTGAGGAATTTCAAGATAAATACTCATTTTCCTCCAGTAGCATGGGCAAGACCCTCACGCGGCTACTTCGCCTGGAAGAGCGCCTCCAGCGTGCAGTGCGCGCCATGCTCATTGACTGGGTGGGGGGCGGGAGGCCGAGGACAGAGGGGTGGGGTGTGGGAAGCCCACGGGGCACCAACACACAGAGCATGAGGGGCGCAGAGGTCTGCCACTTACTTGATTTCAGCGATCTTCTTTGGAGCGGTGAAGACGTTTGTTCCCTGAATTTGGGGGAGCAGCTGCCGGAGCTGGGAGGGGGGGTTGTACTTTCCCAGGGGCAATGTTAGCTCCAGGTCATAGCCCCTTGTGCTGCAGGAGTGGGGGGAGAAAAGTTGTCACCAACCTCAAGACACCCCCACTTCAGAGATGTGGGGAGGGCCCTGCCCTGGGGGACGCAGGAATCCCACGAGATGCCACTGCTGAAGGGGTCAGCGGCCTTCGCCAGAGGAGGCAGCACTTACTACCTCCCGAGGCTGCTCACCCCAAGGGTGGACCATTCGTTCTCAGTTCTCGGAAAGACATGGTACTATATATATAAAATGGAAGTAAAAAATAAAAAAATTTAAAATATGTAATACATACGTATGTATATAACAATACATATTCATTAGAGAAAAATCAGAAAATAGGTAACAATCCCTGGCTGGTGGGCTCAGTGGATTGAGCACTGGCCTGCAAACCAAAAAGTTGCTGGTTCGGTTCCCAGTCAAGGCACGTGGCTGGGTTGCAGGCAGGTCCCCAGTTGGGGTTGTGCAAGAGGCAACTGATTGAAGTTTCTCTCTGACATCAATGTTTCTCTTCCTCTCTTTCTCCCTCCTTTCCCCTCTCTCTAAAAATAAGTAAAATATTTTTTAAAAGAAAATAGGTAATAAAACAATAAGAAGACAACATTCTTACCATAACCCACGTTAATGCTTGGGTATATGGCCATCCAGACTTTTCTCATTGCTAATTTGTATTACACACACAGATTTTTAATCAAAAGAGCACAGCGGACTATAGTTTGCTTTTATAGCTCAGTATTTTGTGAACACTTAGCCATGTCAAAAAGAGATGTCGCTCAGTGGATAGAGCACCGGCCTGCAAACCAAATGGTTACCAGTTCGATTCCCAGTCAGGGCACATGCCTGGGTTGCAGGCCAGGTCCCCGGCTGAGGGCAAACGAGAGGCAGCCACACATTGATGTTTCTCTCCCTCTCTTTCTCCCTCCCTTCCCCTCTCTCTAAAAATAAATAAAAATACAAACTAAAAATAGAAGTAAAAAAATGTCTACACAAATCCCACAATTCCATGCACCTGAAATGGTCAGAAAAGGGAAATGCATGGAGACAGAGAGCAGAGCAGTGGTCGCCCAGGGCTGGGGGGGGACGGGGTGGGGGGGTGTGAGAGGGGTGAGAGGTGACGGGGACAGGTTCCTCTCTGGGACAATGAAACGTCACCCTAAGCCAGACTGTGGTGACGGACGCACACGTCTGTGAGGATACTGCAAACCGCTGAACTGCACATAAACCAAAGCTGTCAGAGGGGGAGAGAGATGTCTACACGGAGCAGCCTGGGAAGCCGCCACAGGGTGGAAACGCCTTGAACCTCTCCCACTCTGTCCTCACACCCGTAACCTTCTCCCTGGACAGAAAAGCTCCCTGAGGCCCAGAGGAGTGAAGACCTCACAGGAAAGGGGGCCTCGGCTTCCCCCAGCTCTGTGCCCTCCCCACAGGCCTGCACCGTCGTGTCGGGGCGCCCCTGGCCTGGCCAGGGCTCGGGGGAGAGCTCACTGGTCAGGTCTCTGTCCTTCCTCGATCCGGGTGGTCGTGACAGGGTTTCCAGTGACTCGGGTCCGCCTGTAGGGCGTCGTGGGCTTCAGTTGTGCGGCCAGGGGACTATGGGCAATGGCGGCCAGGAAGCGAGCGATGTAGAAAGTGCCAGCGTTTTTGGACCTTGGGTCCTCGGGTCCCAGCAGCTCCCAGAGCACCGTGGCGGGGAAGTAGCCCACAAAGTTGGTCTGACAGTGGACTCGGAGCTCGTAGCACTCGCCTGGGGGAGGGGGCCTGAGTGAGAGGGAGGTGGTGGGAGAGGGGGCCCCTGGGCACTACCCTTGTCCTGGACACGCCCCCAGAGAGCCCCATCCTCGGCAGGAGCCCACAGGACGGCACCAGCCCTCCCTCTGACAAGCCCCTGCCCACACCAGGCTCCTCCCATTGAAAACCCACTCACCACGGCCCAGGGAGCAGGGCAGCTCCTGGTTTCCATAGAAGAAGGTAAACTGGGGGCTCCGGAAGAGTGGGAAGACGTGGGTGAGGGTGACGGACTGGGTTCCTCCATTCCGAAGCCGCAAGGTCAGCACCTCCTTGCGGTCCAAATCCAGGTGGATAAGGAGTTGCCCATCCCGGTCTTCATGACGCCCCTGGACTTCCACGTCCACTCCATGCTTCCCGTGAAGGTACTCGGCCCTGGGGAGAGCGGAGTCAAGGGGGGCTGGAGCAGGAGGGTCCTGGTTGGATGTTGCCCTCGGGCAAGTTCTAGGCCACGGAGGCTGGCCAAGTGGCAGTGGTGCAGGACAGCACACCCCACCCTAGACCTGTTAGCTCCTTCTCTACCCTCCCCCACCCCCTAAGGGAGGGGTTTTACCCCAACACTCTCTCAGCCAGACAGCCCCCCACCTCCCCCACACACTCCACACCTGTCATGAAAGATCTTGGCGAGCAGTGACTTGCGGTCCGTGCTGAGATCAGACACATCGGCCCAGCGGTCAAGTTTGAAGAACCTGACCCGTGTCTTGGTGACGTAGGCCAGATTGGCAGTCTTCATTCCATACAGCATGGAGGAGAAGCCAGGCATGGATTTCCCAAAGCTGCCGGATTTCCCAAAGCTGCCGGAAGCAGAGAAGACTGGGGAGTGAGGGAGGGCAGCAGGGCAGGGGGGTGCACGCAGTGCTGGGGGGGGCGTCTGCACGGGGCTCTGAGGGGCTCTAAGGGGCTCACTGGCCCTGCTGAACAAGAGCCCCTGGGCCAGGGACAGAGGCTCAGGCTGGGGATCAAAGGAATTTTTAATGTTTTAAGGAAAGGCAATGGGACTTCCCAAGGCAAAATTCACTTGTTCTATACAGCAGGTTGTAGACATGCATTTCTGAGGAGAAAAGCCTAATGGGCTGTCGACTAAAGACTAAGAGAGAGAAAGCAATGGAAGTTTTTTTTGGGGGGGAGAAAACTGCGGGGGGTAGAAAAAGACAGACACCCCAGCAGGAAGAACTGAGACTAAGGGGAAGGAAATGAGAGGGGTGGATCTGGGGTCTGGGCCGATGGGGCAGTGAGGGAGGTCAGAGCGAGAGAACAGGTGTCTGGATGTGTGGGCCAGGGGGCTGGCAGACAGCACGTCTACCCCAAGCCAAAGTGTGGAGGTGGAACCCGAGCAGAAAGAGAAAGGGTCCTTGTTCAGAGATCAAACGTAGTTTGGCTTCTTGCACCTAGAGAAGGTAAAGGCAGGGGACACTGGTCAGAAGGACAAGCGCTCAACGTCCCATGCCTAAAATTTGGTTTAGGGAACTCAACACTTACAGAGACCTGTTATGTGCCAGGCACTGGATGCTGGGGGTTCAAAGTGGCGAGAGCCTCAGGCCTGCCTCGGAGCATGGACTGAACATGTCAATCCCAGCCCCACCGCGTGGGGGCACCAGAAGTCCGGGGCACATGGAGCCCAGCCTGAGGGCAGGGTGGGAAACCACGAGGTTTCCCCAGAAGCCAGTGGCGGGTTCAAGAGAGAGTGCAAAGTGCTGACCAGGTAGAGGGGTAGGCAAGAACAAGTGCCGGAGGGCTGGGGGACCACCCAAGTTACTTCACCTCTCAGAGCCCTGCTTCCCCCTCTATAAAATGGCACAATGAGACTTACCTGACATGGTTTGAGGGTTACCCGAGATGGACTGGGCGGTGAACCACATCACCCAGTGCTAGGCACATAGAGAGACCTCAGTAAGGTGTGCTAGGATTAGTAACACACACAGTCTAGTTGTACTAGAGTGAAAAGTGCAAGGAAAGGGGTAGCAGGAGGCAGCAGAGGTGAGCAGGGGCCAGGTCACGCACTGTTCTGTCCACCAGGCCATCAAGCCTGGACTTGACCTTGAAGGCCAGCAGTCCTGCTTCTTTACTGGCACCCGGGAGCCAGAGGGCATCTCCACATGCGAGATTACACGGGTATATTTAAGAACCGGACAGCTGACAACCGTCCTTTGATGCTTTCTATGGAATGAAAGCAAACCCTAGTTCCTAGGAACTACGGTAATCACTATTTAACGGTTAAGAAGAAATCAGTGCAGGCACTCACTAGTGTATAGTAGGAGAATTGACAGTCACCGGCATTTTCCTGGTGGCCCCTGCCTAGAACTCTGCCCCTTCCCTTCATCCCCAACAACTGAGAATGACACTACGCAGAAAACGTCGTATGGGCTCTGATTTGTTTTAAACAAGGCAAGGAATCATTTGAAAAGACAAAAGAAAAAAATGCTCTGGAAATGTTAGCTATTATTCGCATTCATGTTAGTGGTAATAGTGGTACTAAGAGTAGCGGGAGGAGGAAAAGCAGCAACTTACTTTCAGCCCGAGTCAGAGGCTACACTGTGGGTACAGAACCACCCGGTTGGTAGGTTATAAGCAGGGGAGTGGCAAGACCACATTTGCATTTCAGATCATTCTGGCATCAGGATTGGAGGGTTGGATGTGCTGCACGCAAGACTGCAGGCAGGAGGCCAGTTAGAAGGAGGCCACACACAGCAACTCTCTGCCCTGAAGATGGCAGGGGCCCGAACAGTGGTGAGGAGAGAAAAGGGGCCAGATGTGATAATAAGTAGAATGTAAAATCAGCAGGATTTGGTGATTGTCAGGAGGGGGAATGGAGAGGGGAAGAAGGAGGAGTCGAGGACAATACCCACATCAATGGCTTGGCTTTGGGGCTATTCCTGAGATAGGAGGGAAGGACAGGAGGAGGAGCAAGCTGGAGGGGCTGACCACGCCTTCTGGACTTGGATGGGCTCAGTTTGAGATTCTTGTGGTCAAGAGGCAGGTGGCTCAAGCCGAGAACTCAGGCCCAAGTCAAAGCAGAGCCTGACGTTAGGGAATCCCAGGACAGCAGTGACAGCCACAGAAGTGTTTAGGATCCCCCCAGGTGGTAGGAGAACAGAGGAGGCCACCCAGGGAGGAAGGGAAAAAAAGAGAACTCCCCTCCCCCAGAGAGAGAAGTATCGGGAGGAAGTCTTCGAATAAGGTGTGAGCCTCGCCCTGCTGGCTGCTGAGTCATAACGGAACAAATCAGAAGTGAATAAGAAACTTTCATCAGGGCTCCTTGGTCAGTAAGTCATGAAATCTCACAGGGTGGGCACAGACTCAAATGTAGACAGAAGCCAGGCTCCTCAAGTGCCTCGCTACCCTCAGCGCCTTCAGGCCCCCCCACACCGCCCACTGTTGAGCCGTCACTGAGTCATCGGTGTAAGAAGGATAACACCCCACACCCCTCATCTGCAGACAGATGTTGCCAGCAGACAGTGTAGGCCCAGGTCAGCCAGATCTGGCTCTTGAGAGAAGCCCAGATCAAAATTTGAATGTAAAATCACCTATTTCTGAAAACTTCTATGTGGGCACAGGGGCAGGAGGAACTCAACTTTGCAAAAATTTTACAACTTCTCCTGGGGGGTAGAAGTTGTAATGACCTGATTTCTCAGAGTCATTCCCCACGTCTGACACTAATACCCCCATTCACCTCCCTGGTCTAAGGTGACAGCCATAAACAAAAACATTTTTTTAAATACAAAACTTAGTACATACTGATTAAAAAAAAACCCACAACAAAACCCAAACCTTGTATTATGCATGTAGTCACCCAGATGTCTAGGGGAAAAAAAGATGAACAACTCAATAGAAAAATGAAATATTTAACTTGAACAAATCCAGATGACCCCCCATCAAAAGTTTAAAAGATGCTTCAGAAGTAGAAATGCAAATTAAAGTAAAAACAAGATACCATTTATAAATTACCATCAGACCGACAAAAATGGAAATGTTTTGTTGTTACTATATAGGAAAATCAAGTGCAAGGGGAAACATTACAACCTTTGCAAAAACCATCTGGCGGTACCTCCTCACACTTGAAATGTAGGTGGTCCTGTAACTCAGGGATCTCATGACAAGAGAGCGTAAATGTATAAGGACATATGTGCAGGGACGCTGACTGCAGAGTTGTCCACAGTGTCCAAGAGCCAGAAACAAACCAATGCCCATCAACAGGGAGACAGTTGAATCAACTGTGAACACCCACTCCATGGAATACTATGCATCTGTGAAAAAGAACATGCCGCACACTCAGATGGCTAAAACTTAAAAAGCCGACAACACTAAATGTCGACGAGGATCTGGGGATACCAGGACACTCATGCATTGTGGGTTGGAGGATAAATGATCCAATCATGTTGGAAAAGGGCCTTGTAGTTTCTTGTAAAACTAAACATATATAACATTCTGATTGCTAATGAAAAGTATAATTGCTACATTATGTTGTACAATAAAAATTCACTTAAAAAAATAATGCAACTGGAACACCTTGCACTGATCTTTATTCAACAGGTATCTGCTGTGAGGATGAATGAAAGAAACATCAAATCATTCCAGACTGTTGTTCACAGAGGAGACAGATGGCCATGCAAGCATCAACAAGCTGGCTGGCACACAGCACCACTGGGCAACGGCCTGGAATGTTAGGTGCCAGGGTCTACAGATTGTCCTGACTTGGAAAAGCTATGTAAAGGAAGAAAGGTAATAAAAGGGAACTAAATATATGAAGACATGGCAACACTGCTTTTATCTTGTTTTTTTTTCAATTTTAAATTATTTTTACTATTATTTTTTAAATGGTTATATTACTTTTAGATGGCTGTGTACATTCGGAGTCATTAGTTGTAAGCAACAAGATAAATGATGGCTGACTTAAGTGATAAAAGTTTTATTGAAATTGCTGGCAAGCTGGGCCCTGGCTGGTGTGGCTCAATGGATTGAGTGCCGGCCTGTGAACCAAAAGGCTGCCGGATTGGTTCCCTGTCAGGGCACATGCCTGGGTTGCAGGCCAGGTCCCCAGTAAGGGGTGCGCAAGAAAAAACCGAATGATGTTTCTCCTGCACATCGATGTTTCTTTCCCTCTCTCTGAAAATAAATTTAAATAAACAACATTTAAAAAAATTGCTGGGAAGTTAGGAGAAGCAGGCTCAGGAAATGGGCAGGAACTAGCTAGGGAAGGCTGGGGCCTGCTTCCACACAAGGTCAAAGGGCATGAACCTTCACCGCTTTGGTAAGTTCTGCCAGACTATCCTTGAAAGAAGTTATACAAACCTACATTCTCACTAACAAGAATTTGAGGACACCCTTTTCCCAGACCCCGATGGAAATTTTCAGTCCCTTAAGTTTTTGACAACCTGTTAGGAAATGATTGTATCCTGTTTAAATTTGCATTTCTCTGTGTCACAGGTGGGCACAGGTAACCAAGTTCTTGGTGAATGCCAACAAAGGACTGAACCAAACGCATTGAGTTTATAGCAGAAGAGAGAGAACAGATTTTTTAAGTGATAGTACACTCCACAGAACATGGGAGCCGGCCAAGTCCGAGCAGAGATTGACCTTGGGGGCTGGAGGGATTCTATTCTTATAGGGCAGATCTTTCCTGGCTAGTTTTGGTGGGCTTTTATCGCGCATGTGCAAGTAAATATATTACTTTACAGCTACTGTGCGTGTGGTCTCCCGTGATTTTCTTTGATTGGTCCCCGGAGAAGGGGGTCCCACAATATTAATTTATTATAATGCTATTATAATGAAGCAGGAGTCACATACCATCTCCTGCACAGGTACAGTCAAGTCATGACTCACCATGATTCAGTGCTTTTCTGGAAAGTGGGAACAACTGGTTTTAGAACAGGGTCTCAGTCTTGTGTGATGTCCTTTATTTTAGCCCTGGGGAACCTCCAGAGTTTCCTCCTTCTGGACTATCTCCTGCCTCTATCAACCGATCACTATTATAGCTGGAGGATCTTGCCTACGTTTAACCAGTCATTTATATTTCTTTGTGAGCTACCTGATCCTATCATTTTTTCCAAGCTCTAGGAGCTAGTTCCTCTTCACACCTCTCTCTCTCCTGGTCCACCATGAACACAAATCACATCTGGTCCCCCAGTTTATGACCCCTCCCTCAGTCTGCGGGATTAAGTCTAAACCTTTAGCACGGCATGCTTCAATCCTCCACATTAATGATGGTAATGCAAATACCTATAACATCAACAATAGGAAACATTTATCGAGCACTCTCTGTGGGCTGTTCTAGGTACCTAACACACAAAACCTCATTTGGTTCTCATGACAACTGCGATCATTCCATTTTGGAGAAGAAACTAAGGCACAGATCCTCCCCGAGCATGGGCCTTTGGACAATCCCTCTTTCCTGGTACACATCAGTCCCTCACTACCTGGAGCACGGAACTCCCCTCTGCACCCTATCATCACTGTGAGCATCCCAGGTCTGCAATGCCCCGCCCCACCCCCTGTTGTTAGATAACTAACCTTTTTAGAGCCGGTTTAGGAAAGAGTAATAGCTAGAGGAGTCGTTTTTTTTCAGGATGTAGTATCAGACTTGAAAGTGACCTTAAATTAAAAGGACAGCTAATTCCAAGTTGTTAAAACTCTGAGTTGCAACTCTCATTAGTGGGTCAAGACTAGGATTTTTATAAAACTGAAATTAAGATAGAATTGAAAACGTCAGAAAGCAGGGAGCAGGGCCACATACTGTTTCAAAGATACATACTGTTCTGTGAAAACAGTGTATGCCAGGCCCTGAAATAAAAGGTATTTTCTTCGGTGGACAGAAGTCCAACCTCCAACCTGTTCTCTGTGCCAGAAGCCCCAGTGATCTTTCCAAATCTTGATCCTGCCAGTCTCCTCCTCTGGCACTTTCTGTGCTTTGCTATTTCTGTTAAGATTAAAGAGAAAACTAACCCCACAATGTCTCTCCATGGGTCCACAAGGTCCCGAGCCATCCAGCCCCTGCCGTCTCCTGCTGGCCTCATTGCACCGGGTTCTTCCAAGTTCACCCCAAGACCTTGAAGACACTACTTAAAGTTTGGAATGCTCTCCCTGCCCATCTGCTAACTCCTGCTTATCTTTCAAGATTCTGTTCAAACGTCTCTTTTTCTTAGAAACTTCAAATTCCTACCCTAGGTCACCTGCAAGCATAAGAAATGCATACTGGACTTTTTCTTACAAGCATTTGTCAGAACAGTCCTTAAATAATGTTTTAAACCACCACATCCTTCCTCAGACAACTGAGGTTCTTTCTATGTATCTCGTGACTCACATGTGTGGTACTTTGCTCTCAGGAGGCATCTGGCCGATATTTGTTGATAAAAGAATGAGTCTCCTGGCCAAGAAAAGAAACTTAATAGCACGCCAATCCCTCCTCTGTACAAGGGACTTCTAACCATCACTGCACTAAAATGACAGCCACCAGTCCCAAAGCCCGAGCAGTGTGCTACACCCGATAAAGGCCCTACCTACCACGGCGCAGTTGGGCTTCACACAACCCCGAGAGAAAGGCTTTATTTGACATCAGCTGGGAAGAGAGAGATCTTAAGAAAAAGAAACGACAGGCCCAAGGTGGAGTCGCCTGCCCCCAACACAACAAACCAGGACTTGAGAGCAGTTTTAGCCTCCACCAGGAATGTGACTGCAAACCAACCAGTCTGGAATTTCCTGGTCAACACTGGTGAGGTAATGTGCCTGATAAGACCCCTGCCTGCCACCAGGCCTCCCCACCCGCCCCCCAAAGATGTCCCAGCTAGAAACATCTTTTCTTTTGCTAATAACTTTCTTGCCAGACCCAGTTCCTGCTTATAAAAACCTTCCATTTTGGCCCAGGCCAGGTAGCTCATTTGTTTAGAGCGCTGTCCCAATACACCAAGATTGCAGTTCGATCCCTGGCTGGGGTACGTACAAGAAGCAACAATGAAGGCACGAATTGGTGGAACAACAAACAGACATTTCTCTCTCTACAATCAATCAATAAAATTACATTAAATGAAAAAACCCATTTTGTACAATTTGCTAAAGGACCTGTTTTGCTAGATGGGATGCTGTCTGATTCATGAATCCTTCAATAAAGCCAACTAGATCTTTACAATGTACTCGGTGGAATTCTTGCTTTTCAACAGATAGCTGTTCAACATCCAAGGCATCTAGCGAAGGGCAGAACCAGGATTTGAACTCCAGCTCTCCAAACACCAGTGCAGTACTGCACCTCGTGTAGGTCTACACATCTTCCACTCCTCACTTCACTGAGGTGAGAAGGAAGGCACAGCCACAGAGCAGAGCCTCCTTAAGTGGGTTTTATCCGCGAATAGAGACAGATGGAAAAGAGAAGAGTAGGGAAGAAAGCGTTTTGTTAACACCCTAAGATAACCCGGTGGAGAGGGCCAATCCCTTCCAGTGTAGGAATCTCCCTGGAATTCCTGACAGTGGGGGGCGGGGCTTGTCGCTGGCTACACATCCCTTATAGCCTATTGTTTTGTAGATCAACTCTACTGAATAATTCAATTAGGTTCCACAAGCATTTAATGAGCATCTATTACATACAAGGCTCTCCAGTGAGGGAAGTTGCAAATACAATGAAAAGCCTGTGTCGTTTAAGGTGCTGACAGTCTGGAGGGGAAGACAGAGCCCTGTCTTCCCCTGGTGCTGAGCTCTGCTCAGCCCCAAGGCAGGCAGAGTGTAAGCCGGTTATAACCAGGGTGTGAAGAATGAGCTAAGAGAGCCCAGGGGAAGAAGCAAAGAATCTCCCTTGGGAGGATGAGGGCTGACGTCACAGCATTCCAGCCTGGGTTTAAAACTTGCGTCCAATTAGACTAGAAGTCTCCACCTGGAGTAGGGAGTTGGGGGGGGGGCGGTGGGCGTGCTCAGTGAACCTCGATTCGCCTTATGGAATGACACAGAAATATAATTCTGTCATGAGTTTTTTTTCTTTTTTAAATTTGCAAGGTCAATTTTTCCTCTTTTCAAGGCAAACACTTTTCAGTTTCTTTGGACTGGGTCTCAGATTGACTATGAATCAACTTAGAAGCTTTGCCTCCTCCTCCAAACACTAAAACTCTATCTATCCTTCAACGCCAAGGTCAATGCCATCTTCTCCACTGGGTTGCCTTGTATACTGTACGCATATCATAGCTGTTATTGCCCCCCGGGGACTGGGTAATCATCACCACATATTCCCCACAGTGCCCAGTACAGTGTAGGAGCACAAACAAGTCTCATCTTTGCTCCTCCCTCAGATATTTGCTCAAGCCTGTAAATGTCCCACTCACTACTGAAAACAATATCCCAGATGTAATCTGGTCAATGTGTAGTCATTCCACCCAAAATACACTTCTGTTAACACGGTCCCACACTTCTTTCACTCTTTCTACAGCCATACTGGCCTTCAGTCTGCAAAAACCCAGTCTTTTTCGGGTTTGTTATTAAGCCTAACCCAGTATTTATCTGCATAAGTCTTTGCATTTATCCCTGTTGTTTCTTGGTTTACGGCAGCCTGTTGATAGTGGCGTTTTTGAAGCACAATTCTATGGCTGGACAGAGAGGTCTTTGATTTTCACTTGGATGGCACCAGAAAAAGGGAACCAAACAGCCTTCCGCCACATGGTAGAAGCAGCGCCCCCCTCCCCACCCGCATCCCTCCGCCGCCGCCGCCCACGGGAGATTGGCCCTGGCCCTGGTGCTCGGTCTCCATGGAGAAGCCACAGGTGCTAATGGGGGGTTGGCACGTAAGTAGATGGTGCCTTTTCTTCTTTCTGAGCCCCCTGAGGTGCTCCCTCCTACCCTGTACTCTTCAGCTCTCACGGATAGTGGACCCCGGAAGAAGCAGCCCCTCAACCAGGGGCGGGGGAATGCCAGTGCAGCCCGCGCCTCAGCTCGCCACCTCCACCAGAAACCACCTTCCCCGCGCTTGCGCGACGCAGGGGACCCCCCCCCCAACGCGCCCCTCCCCCCGCGGATCCCCCAGAGCAGGACCCCGCCCGGGGTATCCCGGGAGCCGGTTGCGCCCGAGGCTTTCCGCGGGGACTTTGGCGCAGGGTCCCGGCCAGGACAGAGCTTGGCGGGCTGGCTCCGACAGACACAGGAGGGGCGTGGGCACCAAGCGGGAGGGGACGTCTGCACCGCCCCTGCCCCGACCGACCAGAGCCACTGCAGGAACTGCGTCCCTGCGCGCTCGCGCGGGAAGGGTGGCCTCGCCGCAGGGGTCGTAGCGGCGAGCCGGGCCCGCGATTCTGCGCCAGGGAGGGGGCCGGCCCATACCTGGTCTTGAAGTTTTGGTTATAAATGATCCGCAGCTTCTCGCGATTTGTCTCCATGTCCAGTCCCTGAACGAGCAGGAAATTCTCGAAGCATTGGCCGGTCTCCCGGAGCTGCCGGACGCTGAACTTAGGGGACATCGCGGCGGCGGTGCGGCCCAGGCAAGAGGGTCCCTGGAAATGAAACTGAAACTCGGAGCCGCGGCAGGAAGTTAGCGGCCCTAGGATGAAGGTACAGCAGGGGGTAAATACCCTAACTCTGACTTCTGACCCTGCAGGGTCGCCTATCCTCACCAGGCTTCCCTTCTCTGTCCTTTTCCTACCTGAGCCTTCCCTACGGTCTCCGTCCTATCCCCTCCCTCTCGGCCTATTTAACTCTTTCCTAAGGAGCCTGACCCCTCCCTCAGGGCCCTCCCCTGGCCCCAGTCTCCCTCTCTTGGCTCCTAGCCAGGCTAGGAAGGCGGGTACCTTCTGGGGCCCCGGATCAGTCCCGGAGGTCAGCGGAGCCTGAGGAAGGGCTGTTCCCACGCCCACCCGCCAGAGCCCGGGGATTCGAGACGAAGCCGGAGAGCAAAGGGCAGGGACTGGGACCGGGGTCGGAGACTGCAGGACTAGGGCAGCTCGGGCAGCACCTCCCCCAGACTGCCGGGGGCATAAACCAGTGCGGAAGCTAGCTGCACGCCTCCCTCCCCCATTTTCCCTCCTCGGGCTTTGAGACCGAGGGAGGAAGGCAAAGGGCCAGAGAAGTTTGAGGGAAAGAACCAAGTGTCTCCGAGATAAAGGTGTGTATGTGTGGGAGGGAAGGACAAGGGGCTCCGCCAGCACAAATCATTACTTTTCTCTGCTACACAGGCTTCGTTATTTGGAAAGACTGGCGATCCTACCCTTGAACCATATTTTTGAACCCTTAATTGCACTCCAGCCTTCATTACTCTTTGTTACTATCATAGAAGGGTTGCCCCAATCATCAAAATATTAGCTTTTTGAGAGTAAGAGGCTACGGCATCAGTACCAGGAAGAGAACACCGGCATGTTTCAAAAAAAACTAGTAAGACAAACAAAGGGGGCGGGGCCACCACAACAAACGTAAAACAACAAGTCTTGGCAACTCTGCGTCTTCTGGCGTTACAAAACACACTAGAAGGGGGCAAAGATAATAAAAGTTATACAAAAAAAATTTTAAACAAATATACCAGGGTTCCAAATATATCAAAAGTACTGTTACTCTCCAAAGGAATTCCCTGCAGGAGGTCACACAATGTAACCTAGTGAGGAAGGTGCAGACCCCAGGTCGTGCTCCAGCTGGGCTACCCTTGTACCTTTTCCAGGCCAGGAGCCAACTGCAGCCAGGAACAACAGACTTTAGCAAGAGGAAATGCAGTCAATGGGAACCAAAGCTACAGGATGCGGTGAGCAGAGCTAGGGAGAACATTGTCTTAAAAACTGATTATCCAAAGTAGAGGAAAAAGCTGGGGAAGTCGCCCAGGATTTTACCTTTTTCTCCCCCAAATACCTGATAAGGACTGGGAGTAATAGAGTGAACTCCTCTGAAATGCGTTGTTACCATTTTAAGAACCTACCATCTAACTTACCCAAAATGAATGCCTGGTTACATTTTGATCAGCGAGTCAGTGATGTCCCTGTTATTGGATGTATAACCTCGTCCCTCTCTGGTTAGGCTTGTTTCCTGAATAGCCTCAAAACATGATCAGCCATAGTCTAGTCAAAACTGAGGCAGAAATGTGATGTGGCTTTGCATACAGTGGAACCTCTCTAGACCAGTTTCATCTGGAAAAAAATACACTCTACATGCCATTGTAACGATTTTCAAACATGCTGGCTTGAATGGTCTTCCTTTCCAGATTTCACATTCAGTTCAGGTTTCATTCTCTCTCTCTCTCTCTCTCTCTTTAAAGATTTTATTTATTTTTAGAGAGATGGGAAGGGAGGTAGGGAAGAAGGGAGAGAAACATTGATCAGTTGCTTCTCATAGGCCCCAGCCGGGGACCTGGGTTGCAACCCAGGCATATGCCCTGACTGGGAATCAAACAGTGCAACCTTTCCTTTTGCGGTTTGTGGGATGCTGCCCAACCCACTGAGAAAACGCCATCCAGAGTGCATTCACTCTTGCAGCCTTCCCCAAATCCTTCTGCACATACAAGAAGTTGACTTTAAGGCAAAAAGTTGATTTTAGTATGGGTCCAAATAGCATTGAAGGCCATCTTTGACCAGTGATGTTCCTAGAATAAATTTTGTAGCTTTACAAGGTATCTACTTTGAAGATGAAAAGCCCTGTATTTTTTCAGTACTCCATGGTTAACTTGGGTTCAACAATTCAGCATTGAATGTCTCTAACTTTGTGTTCCAACTAGACTGTAATCCCAAAGGCAACTAGAAGCATCCCGTAAACTGAAATGCTGAAGTTAGTCTAGCATAGATGAAAGGAGAAGCTGTGGCCGGTATTATTTATGAATTTTGTATTTACAAATTCACCTACTCACTAAAACTTACCTGTAACCTCAAAATCAATACTGGCAGTACTTTTGCAATCATTCATGGACCCGTCTAGAGCAGGAAAAAAAAAATGAGTTGCCCACTGTGCCTGTTCCCAGCTGAGTGGGAACAAAGGTGATGTTCTTTCTCGTTTCAGCTCATCTAATAAACATATGATTTATTCTGTGATCTATTTTGTGGTCACATTTTTGTCCTTTTTGTTGGTGACTTCATAGCCAAAAATGGCCCCTAAGCCAACAGTGCTGAAGTTCTTGCTGTTTCCAAGCTAGAGAAGGCAGTGACATGCCCTGCAGAGAAAATTCCTTGAGACGAACCTCAGGCATGAATTACAGTGCTGTTGGTCGTGAGTCCAACGCCAGCGAATGAATAGTGGATGTGAGATATCTGTGTCTTGATCAGCTAACAAAATTGTGGTGACCAGAAGCTCACAGGAATCTCACCTTGTATTTCCCCTAGTGTTGGGGACCACTTTGTGTGGTATCGGAGACTGTAGCCCCTTGCAAGTGAGGCCTTGAAAGAGACCTGTAAGCCTTGACCGGTTTTCGGGAATGCAGGAGGCAGGCATGAACCAAGGCCAGCACTGAGGGTTTCAGTGGAAAATCAGGCCTGAAGAATGCATTGTATCCTTTGAAGCTTGCTTTGCTTTGTACAGCCCTGTTGGTATAAACCAGATGTTTTTAAGTTTAAAGCGTAAAAGAGTGAACTCCTTATCTCATGAAGCTTGCCTTAAAGACCCTCTGGCGTCAGCAGGCGCAGCAGACCCTGACCTGAGGCAGGTTTCTGTTTCTTCACTTTTATCTATAAATCCCATCTGTTCTCTGCAACAGCAGTCCTTTGACATTGATTGATGAGCTATGCAGGTATGCTGTGTACCCCTACACGTACTGATCTCAATAAAAGCCCTTTCGGAGAAGGCTTTAGGGCATTCTCTACGTAAGAGATCGCAAGCTTCCTTCCCCCCAGATTGTGTCTGGGCCAGCTTATGTCACCCTTGACTGGGAGGACTCTGAGGGATGGGGTTCCCCTCACCCCAGTAACAGTTTGCTAATTCATTGTTTGGTGGCGATCGTACAGACCGTAACTCCTGTGAATAATGAGGACTGTACACTCATATGTGTATCAGAATGCTTCTGGAGATGCTGGATTTGAAGAAGCATGAGGTTGATTTCTGCCCTCCGTCTTAGATCCTCTTTTTACGTATATCCTGTCTGTTCAAGGGAGAACTGTAGTTGGTTCAACTTGTCTCGATGAACCATGCACTTTTTGTTGTGTTTACCAATCTTCCTCTTTGATTTCTCACACAGTTAAGTGCTTGATACAGAATTATAAATCATAAATTGGCATTCAGTTATGTATCCATCTTTTGAGAGTTTGGAGTAACAAGGTTTGCCAACTATCTCACAAACCTGAGTCTAGCATCAAAGTTCTAGATTATAAAATAGACAACAGGTACCAGACCTAGCCAACTAACAGCACAGCCGCCCAGGCTCGGATGAAAGTTTTTGACAGTGTAATTTCAAACTCAAATACACAAGTGAGGCCTCATAGAAAACTCCTTTTCATCTGGGTTGATTTCAGCAGCATGTGATAAAACAGACATCATTCAAGCACATATTCTCCAGAAGGAGGCTGAGGAAGTCAAGTCTCCGTAGGACTTGGTAAGGGGGTTGACTTTCTCCTAATTATATAAGTAACCGCGGGCTTTAATGGCCAAAACAGTAAGTTCTTATGGAACTTACAAAGTTCTGTAGGGACTAAGGAAATCCCTGGGATAGCCTGGGGGCACAATGTAAGTTTAAGGCAAAGAACAAAGTGTTTGAATCTGTTTGTACTACAAGTACAGAGTGTAACACAGTTAAATGTCCCTCAGAAAGGGGTAATTTGAACTGACCTTGGACGGAGGGTAAAGCACTAAAACTCCTCTGCTCTGTTGGAGACCAGGATAAAAGCCTTTCTGACATGTTTAGCTACTGAGTCAGATTTGTATGGGAGGCAAGTAGCATGGAGAGTTAAGTCAGTGGGAAATATTACCCAAGTTGAAGGTACAGGGATCCTTCCATTTCTATTTCCTGCTTAGGGACAACCACCACACTGAGAACCTACTTTCTTTTCTTACTTTGATTTTTTAGAGATAGAGAAACCTCGATGTGTTGTTCCACTTATTTATGCATGCATTGGCTGATTCTTATATGTGCCTTCACTGGGTGAATCAAACCGCAACCTTTGGCATATCGGGATCACACTCTACCCACTGAACTACCCAGCCAGGGCTGAGTGAAGGAAAAGCAGTCTGATCCATAGGGACTGTTCTTTGCAAGGCTTGGAATATTCACTATATCTAGAATAGTGAAGGTAGGATCCAATTTCAAAAATCCTGAACATTCTCTTCAAATACAGTTAGTTTCACATCTTATATTGAGAACAGAGGCTGAAAGGATGGATCAAAAAGGAGACTCAGACCATTTAAGAACAAAACAGATATATTTCTACTGGTCTACCTGATACAGAGGATAGTGTGGTATGGATGGATAGCATGAATAACAAATAATATAAATGTATTTTATTTGAAATAAACAAAAATGCTTACACAGCTCAATAGGTCACTTGGAAACAAACTTGCTTGACTATATTACTGAGCAAAAACAAAGCTGAAGCACAAACACCCTTCTCTTTAGACATGTATGTGGAGACAGGTAGGAAGACACTACTTGGTTTTTAAAAAACTGACCTTCCCTTAAGGCCTGGTCATAGAAGTGTAAACAATGTCAATGAGCCCACCATTTCAGCTGTCATGTATCTACGTCACCTGCGTATTCTGAGATCACAGGTACACCTGCCAATACACCTGGGAAGGAAGGGTGCTATATCACAGTTAAGTTGTTGGCAGGCAGGACTGAGGAAAAGTAATTTGGAACAAGTTTTACATCCTATTTAGAACAAATCACTAGTATTCCCTTAAATAATAGGTTACAATAGAAAGATACTGCCTGGAAGTTATCCTTTTCACTTTGGTTCATTTTTAGGTTTTGCTTGTGATTTACATTAGCTGTTTGACTCATTCGCTTACAGTACAATCCTGCCACAACATATTAAAGCATAAGATACTTATTGTTTCTTCATCTGCATTTTTCAAGTCCCTCGTATGTCAGCAGTTCTTGAATATTAAAAAAATAATAATAAATGGGTAAAACTCTGCTAAAAATGCAGATGTCTACAGCTATAATGGTACTAGATGGGAGGGAGACAATGAGAGAGGGGAGAGAAAGCAAACATGTTCATGTGCAGGGAATGTGGTTCAAGTCTTTGGATTAAAAAACAGCTTCCCCAGAGAAACTGGCTATAATGGAATTCCCACCAAACTTCCTTTGCCCAACAAGAGGACCTGGAAAGCCCCAGTCCGAACTTTTGAAAACTGCAGCGATGCAACAGTCGGAGGGGAGGATGCATGTGTCTTCCACTCGGCCACTGCTGGTCGCACAGCCTCTCGCTGTTGGTGGATCAGGACAGACCGTGGAAGTATCAGGAGTGTTTGGAAGGATGGGGTAGAACAGCACTGAACTTACTACCTGTCAACATCAGCAACAGGGCTTCATGGCTAGGAAGATTTCTAAACAGTAAAATGACTCTAGGATAGATCCCTTCCTCCATCATTAAATGTGGCAGAATTAAAAAAAAAAAAAAAAAAGATTTACAAGTACATATAGTGAAAACAGAAAATTACAAGGCAGAGAACACGAAAGCATCAAGACAATGCTATAGGTTCAACAGTATTCCATGGGGCTAGAAAACCTGTTAACTTTGAAAGCCCTAGCAAAATATCACTCTTGTTTATAAATCACTTATTTACCATATGAGCATACACTGAAACCTTTCTTTCCACACACTGAAGAATCCTACATTCAGCCTCTAAGCATTCTGCATTTCTTTGCCAATCTTGTAGCTGAGTATCTTGTTCCAGTCGATTTTGGTGCGGGTAACTGGGAGCTGCCGGCGCAAGGCCTTGAATGTGGTGTCTGACATGGTTTGATAATTTTCACTAATTGCTGTCTGCAATAGATAATTAAAGATAAGTTACTTGACCAGAATGGGGACAACTATAAATATGAAAGTAACTGAGGTTAAAGGACATGGCCGAGCCCTTGAAAGACAGACAGGACACACTACTACTGCGCTCCTCTCTGATCTCTGAAATGGGTTACGAAGCCCACCTGTATTTATAATTTCTTAAACTAGGGCCACAGCTCCTTTCAATGTCAAAACCTTGACTGGAAGCACAATGTCAAGTTGCAAGGTCTGCAATTTCTCCATACTTAGTAACAATGAACACATAGGTTTATGTTGAAATGACAGGAGTCTGGATCTACAAAAATTAGTTCCAAATCTTACCTGGTACTCATTTTCCGCATGCTCTATGATTTTAATAAACTCCTTGGCAGTTTGGCCTTCGTTCTAGTGGAGGGAAAAATATGAATTTTAAAAAATGTGGAACCAGTGAATAAAAACAGAAGTCCATCTTAACTAACATTTGTACAGTTTGTAGTTTATCAAGTGTTCCATGCACATTATCATCTTTGATGCCCACAACAATAGGGGAAGCTCTGTTATCATTTACATTCTTCACAGAAGAACACAGAATCCTCTTAAGTGACTTGAACAAAATTATATACTTCTGAATGATAAAGATGGGATCTGAGTCCTGGTTTTGCCCCCCAAAATCCATGCTCTTTCCAATCAATCACAATATGCCCAAAAGACACCATAAGATGTTATATAAACAATGCAGATGGACACCAGTCATATATGTGTTAAACTCATATACTCCTACTTGCTACTTAAGATGCTAAACCAACCAATCACATTTTGCTTTTACACAATACAGGTACAAAGTGGACTGAATCTCTCTTCCTTTCAATCACCAGTAAGTACAACAGAGTTAAAGATAGGAGGGTAAGATTTAACGCACGGGGCAGCAGCCTCAGGATTCTTTCAGGCAGTCAAAACTAGAAGAGTTACTAATAGGAAGTTACTTGTCTCTTTCACTCTCACTCTTGTGTGCACACAATGCAGTTTCACAGAAGCTACATGTGTGGTCATCTGATCACTCAGAGGCCAATGTGTGAAGCACACGAGGATTCAGTTCTTTTATTAAGCCAGACATTGCACAATTTGTGAAAATGCAAATCACTGCCATTCTTTTCATTAATTATTTTTGGTTTGAAAAATTCAATTGTTTTTCATGAAAATGTTATTTAGGTTAATAACTGGTAGATCTGTTATTTTTTAACATTTCTCAGCTTTAATTTCTTTTTGTGTTAATTTTTTTATTATTACAGTTGACATACAATATTACATTAGTTTCAGGGGCACAACATAGTGATGGGACATTTACACACCTTATGAAGTGACCACCCCAACAAATCCAGTACCCATCTGGCACCACACATGGTTTTTCATTTCTAATAAGGGAAATACTGACAGACAAAGCACAAACTAAAGCTATATGAGAATGCTCAGTAACTTTTGCGAATATAAAGAAGTACTGAGAATACAAGGAAAATTAGGTCCCTTCCTTCCAGGTACAGAACACAATACTTCTGCTTGAATACTCCTAAAAATGCCTCTCGTGATAGGAACGCAGGCGGCCGGGATTTAGCTTGGCAAACTTCCCTTCCTCCGGGCCATCACTGACTGATGACATTGCTGCCCTTGAGTAAATCTCACAACTGAGAAAGAGAAGAAGGTCTGAATTCTCCAAGTCCACTACTCTCAGTCAAAGACTTTGAACTAATACAGCTGGTTGGTTATATACTCTTATAAGCTACCAAAATCAAAGCATTGAAAACAAACTGAATTGCTAATGGCAGAATCAGTCCCCAGGATCAGAACTAATTTTTTAAAGAGAAACAAGACACAAACGAGGCAGACATCAAATATTTACCACTCACCGAAATAGTCACTGAATCCTGTACGTCTTTATGACTAACCAGCTGGACATTGCCATCTTCGTAATAGTGTACCTGTGGGAGAGGATGTCGGAGGGGTTACGTGCAGTTCATGGAGAAACCCACAGCTTAGGGCACCAATCCGTGCACGCCTCAAGCCATTCCCAGTCTTTACCAACTGAACAAATAATAGGACCAGTGGTGATTTACAATGGTGGTTAATATGCACAGAACATTCAAAGTTAAGAATTCTCTTTTCTTAACAGGAAAACTGATTTTTTTGAAAAATTGATTTTAGAGAGAGAGAAAAATCTGATCTGTTGCTCCACTTGTTCATGCACTCATTGCTTGCTTCTTGTATGTGCCCTGACCAAGGATTGAACCCACAACCTTGGGGTATTGGAC